GTTTATATACAGTATATCACCATTTCTCAGTGAAGACTGAACATCAGAGATTTGTGAAATTTTCTGTCTGCTATGTGAAAACAAAAGGTTTATTCATCAACAGAAATTCAAATAAAAAACCACCATATTTGCTGTGTCATGATGGATTTCAGTAAAATAAAATAGTTATAAAAATGACAAATGCCTGATCTTTATGCAAATGCAGTTATTTTTAAGATTAACTATATTATGGGTTTCAATAAAAACATGTTACTTTACAAGTGTTGTTTGATTTATATGAGAACATTTAACAAATTGACTTGTATAACTTCCAAACCCCAGTGATGGTAAAAGTCTGGTCCAAATGTGAGAAAAGTACAGTAAAGAAAAACTATAATACTATGTCGTGTCAAAACCTTTTTTTAACTCACTCAAACTGATACATCTCTACTCTGAAGAGAGAAAAAAAGCTGCAAAACAACACCTTATCTCTGCTGCGGACGCATGAGTGCATTTGATGATGATGTACTCGTCTTGTTTTAACACAGAAAGAGTGCTTTCTCCTGTTTTAATGGTGGGGTCTCTTACCTCCCCCTAAAAGAAGTGCCCTCTCCACACTGCTGTGGAAAAGTCTATCCGAGCCGTTAAAGTTTCTGAAATGTCTGCTATCACCATCAGACAATATGGACTCTCATTATTTTTTTCCACACCTTTTGGTAAGGTCGTTTTCAAACTTTCAAATAACCGACTGATTGATAAACATGGAATTCAATTTTTCTACTTCAACCATGCACAGACTTGCACAAGCAGGCGGTGTGATGTAATGACAAAGACTTATTTTTCAGGACATGCTGTAAATGTGTTAATAAAATAAGATTTTTTTCTTTATTTTGTTTTATTTTGTCTCACATTCATGACTGTACGGAAAACAGGAAGTTTCACGTGATCTTTTGTCCGGCATACCTCGGTTTCCAGAAACCGACGAAGGGCCCGCTTCTTTTTAATGTTCTTCCGGCGCACAGAAACAGCAACAGTCAACACCATGATGACCGCCATGAAGAGGCCGCCGATCACTCCTGCGGCAATAAGAGGAGTTCTGAAGACGAGAACATGAGGAACACGGGAGGAAGTGAGAAGATTAGGAGCAATGGGAAGATGAGAGGGAAAACGGCAGACATAATTAAAACAGGGTTGGAACAAGAGAGTGAACAAAAAACAAACACAAAAAACAAAAAGAAAACAGAATTCTAAAGTATATAAGACAGGTTCTCAAAGCAAATGTGACATTTAAAACAATTAACACCATAACATCAGTTTTCCTTATTTTACAATAAGCTTTAAASGATAAATGCAATTTAGATGAGAAATAAAATCCTGAAATAATTAAAAATTGAGTATCACACTGATGCAAATATCTGCAATKATTTTCAAAAGTGATCCAATATGCATCTCAAACTTCCTGTTGTGTTGTTAGTAATGACGTAGCTACTGCAGCTGTACAAACAGCTTGTAGGTTATATGTGCAAGGGATGCACAAACAAATAAAAGCAATGCAATTATATAAACTATAAAATAATMTTAAAGCTACATAATTTTAGTCAGATGGAGCAGCACACCTTATGATACGTTCATCTAATGACTCATGCAGACCAAGCATGAGCCCAGTATCCTCCACCAATTTGTTTGTTTTTGGAGAAAATGAAATGTGCACTCAGCTTGTTTCTGTTTGTCAAAACTGCCAGTACATATTTCAACTTTTTTTGTCTTACTACTGTTTGCATTATTATTCTGCATGAATTATCATGACTCTATAAAGCAAAAACTAAAGTTACACTTTCAGATCCTAAACTAATTAAAAAAAACACAATTTTCAAATAGATGTTTCATCAAGTCAGACAATTAGAATGTTTTTTGTACTCTATTACATTTTAGAGCAAAAACAATCTTAACATCTATTGTCTTGCAATGTCTACTATCAGAGAACAAAATTACAAATGACAGGTTTACAGTAATTTGGGTAAGTTAAATAACATTTATGACAGACCACTTAGAGAAGTCACTTTGACATTAACTTTTATGATKGGTATCAAATTCACTTTATACATACTGATCTTTTATTCTGACATTAACTGGTCCCCTGAGTGATGGCATMAAACCCAGCCCGGCTATAAATATACTAAAAATGAAGAAGCTATAATTGCACATAACCAGAAAACCAATGGAACAAAACATCTTAAATGTCTCTGCACAATTACAGCTACAAACAA